CACCTACAGACACACGCAGTGCTCCCAAAAGGTACAGTTTTCTTCCACAAACTGAGCCGTGATGTGCCATTAATCCACTCCCAGCTGGAACACCAGGGGATTCATCTTCTCCAGCCAAATATCTGTCCCATCCCTCAGGCAAAATGGAACAATTGGCAAAGGCCATTACATGGGCCTGGGTTCAGAAACAAATGAGTTGGGATTTTTTTATACCCATCTTCACCCTAAAAGTTATGGCCTTATGGATGTCAAGAACCATATCCTCATATTTTTCCATTGAAAGTTGGAGTGCCCCGTGGAGGCAGTTCTCCAAAGAGAGATCACTATGCTCCCAACAGATCATGGGTCACCTGGGGTGCTTGATAAAAAAGAGTCCCAGGCCACATTCTAGATCTCTGAATCTGAATCTCCAGGTCAGGTCTCAGATCTGTACTTCCTACATGATCCCATCCAAGATGATCAGCCCAGACGATCTTCACCATGAGGCAGATTGAGGGAAAGACAAGACTGAACGTAGCTCACCAGGGCTCTCAAACCAGACTTTTGAAGAGGCCCAGAGAGAAGGGATGCCTGAGTCATCTTGGCCGTTATAGCAGAATCCACAGTCGAGGGGACTCAACATTGGACACTGATGCAGAGCCTGGAAATCCAAGAAGAGGGTGCCCACCAGCATGGTTGGGTTTCCATGGTGGGTGGTTCTCTTCCTGGCTCACCAATGGCAGCCTTCACCCTATGTCCCCGCACAGGGTGTTTGAGGTGGAAAGAGCAAGCTCTCCAGCATTATAAGGGCACTAATCCCATCACGAGGGCCCCACACTCATGACCTCCTCAAATTCCAATTTCCTCCCACAGGCCCCACCTCCAAACAACCTCACATCATGGGGCAGGGAGGGGATGCCCAGAGTTTCATTCAACACATGGATTGGGGATGGGGGCACAGTCCATTTATAGAGATGGATCTTGGCTTGGGGTTTTTGCCTCTCTGCAACCCAGGCAAAACTACTTAATACGAAGCAGAAACCTGAGCAAGCTGGGCACCCGTGGTTGGTTTTAGCCACTTACAATGAATAAAACATGATGATTTAAAATAACCAAAACCAGAACAAACAAAAGAGAGAGAGAAATTAGCGTTATCGGGTATTTCGGATGTTCATGCAGTTAAGCGCTAAATTTAGCTCTGGACCTTCTCAGAGCTTCTCATTCATTTGCTGATTGTCTTTCCTATTTCACGCACGTTAGATCCTGACTAGAGTTGCAGCTTTTACTTGTCCTGAACCAAACTGCCATGTCCAACCTTATGCCCTTTAAAGATGAGAAAAGTCACTGTTTTTCCCCCAAGAGCTTAACGTTTTGTCTCGATGTATTTCTAGCTTATTAGAGAAGCAAAAACTAACCATACCAGAAATACCCAATGGGGGAACCTCCCTCCCCAAACTTATACTAGAAACTGATGAGAAAAATAATACATTTTGTAAAAAACTGCAGTTGAGGTTTTTTCTGTAGATCAAAAGATTTTTCTGACTTTTAAATAATTCAGGTAACCCTGGAGATACAGCCACTGTCCACACTGCTTAACAATGAAGAACCCGGAAAGTCACTGATTCCCTGATTTCACAGTTACTCAGTGTCTCTGTGACAGGAGGGTGACAGCTAGACGTGATGCACGAGTCTCTAGTTTTAGGCCCGCCTCTGCCATAAATTAATTGGCTGGGTTCCACTGAGTAATTTATCTGCCCTCTCTGATCTTCTTGTCCTTGTTCATTCAACGACTGTTTTGAGCATCTAAAATGTGCCAAGCTCTGTGTCCAGGGGAAGTGGATACCTCTGCTCTGGAGGAGGCCACAGGCTGGAGACAAGAAAGTTTTCCATCTCATAATAGAATGGATACTTTCCTTGTGTGGGTGCCTTGTCTGTCCCTTGCTCGTTGGACATATAAAATAAAAACAAGAGCAGGTGAGTGATAATGGAATAAATGAGTAAATGAAACACAAAGGTAATTTTCAGGCACCTTATTTTATGCTACCACCCTTTTGGGGTCTCCTTTGTCTGTAACATGGGCCTAAGTTGTCCAAATTTGATTTGACCCTTCTTCATCTTTAATCCTCAGGGAAATCTCATTTCGTGGCTGTCATCTGCCCATTTTTTGTCCTGCTCTAGAAGTTGCTCAGAATCAGCTTCCATCTCTCATCCCACCTCTGAATATTTTCCTTTATCAAAAATTCAACAGCCGTCCATCAAGCACCAAGCACTGGGCCAAGCTAGATGCTAGTAAGTGTGGACCTGCCCCACCTCCTCCTCTGTGGCTGTGTCTGGTCCCGTGTACATCCCTCTGTGTCCACAAAGGCCATGCCTCATCCCGCCCACCCATAGCTATTGATGGACCAGAACTGTCAAAATGGCACCGTGCTCCCTGGGGGGAGTCTAACACCAACAAATTCTGCCCTCTTCTCCTTGCCAACCACTTCATGCTGCCCTCCCTCCACCCCCAACAACTATATTTAACCAAGATATCTGTTTTGAGTGTAGGACCAGCTTAAATTTTCCACCCACTTAATGGCCTGTGAATCCCAATGCTACCCCCAAATGCCCAGAGTGCCGAGCTGGAATCTCTACCCTCAGTATCAAGTTCCTCCCATTATTTGAACAATGAAAGGGACAGTAGTTTCTCCAGAAAGCATTGCTCAGAAAAATCAAAATTTTAAATATTTTTTTGGTTGTTGACAGACCTTTATTTTATTCTTTTATTTATATGTGGTGCTGAGAATCAAACCCAGAGCCTCACACATGCTAGGCAAGCACTCTATCACTGAGCCGCAACCCCAGCCTGAGAAAAATATTTTTTTTTGTAAATAGAGCATTTGAATAGTATATCAAAGTTTAAAACTACTTCTTCATATGTTATTTCAGTTCATATTCATTAAAAAAAAAAAAGGCTGAGCAGGAAAAAAAAAATAGGCCACAGTTCCTTTGGTCAGTAAAATGGGAGAGTTGGCATTTATGTCCAGGTCTTCTAAGTCAAAATCCCAGAGCCTTTCAGTGATAGCTCCAATAGCATTAAATCTAATTTAAGAGATACCTCTTCAGGATTAAAAGAAGAAAAATGTTCATTACGCAGTGCTCTATTTGCATTTTGCTTATGTAACAGTATCCTAACTTTTGGCATTTTGATTTTTTCAGTATACTGAGAAGCTCAGTGGAAGTTGCCCAGGCCTCTCTCAAACTCTTACAGCTTTAACAAGCCTCTTACTTTTTTTCAAATGACATCTCTAAAAATGTTGCTTACTGGCTGACACTTTTCCATCTAGAAATAAAGTTGGCCGGAACTTCAGTTGTACATATATCTTGTCTTCCTCACCTTCCTAAAAGATATTTTCATTGACCTGGGCCCCCTGTAAACCCTAACAAGATGGCACATCCTCACGTGTCCCAGCCTGTGAGGGGCTGCAGATCACCAGCAGGCTGAGCCTTGTAAGCTTGGCTCTGTAGAGAACCTAGCTGGCCACACGATTCTGTCCTGATAAATAAATTATCTTCCTCTCTGGGTGATGAAGGTGGATTCAAAGTAGCAAAGGGCGTCTTTGGATTATTTTAAATCATAACACCTCTAGGCCTCCATTCCTTCATCCATAAAATGAAGGAAATAACACTCTAATGAAAATTAATGGAAGATCATCATGGGCTTTTAAGATTTGTAGGTGTAGTTCCAAGATGTTAGAGCAAATGTCAGTCTCTGAACTTTAATTTTCTTTCCTTGGTCCTATCTGGGCTCAACAGATGCCTGTCTGAAAGCAGGAATCAAATTTTCCATTTTGGTCGGATCTGCAAACTCTCTGAGTCATCTATGCGGTCATTGTGCTCTTCTTGCAACCAGGCTGTGTGCATAGGTGTCCCCTGTCTCGCTGCTGCCRTGGTGCCAAATGATTGGTAACCAGAGGCAACCGGATTCCAGGTCCCCTCTGGGCTGCATCCTCCCTCGGTGCCCACGTGCTCAGGGCATCACAGGGATGACAAAGTGGCTCCCTACAGCTATGGACAGGCTCCTGTAGAGTCATCTCCTGTAGTCATCTCCAAGATATGCTCGCACCCTGAGCGCCTGGGGTGAAGCGGATCTTCACAAGCCAGCCAATGTGAACCGCTTTCCATTTTTCCCTTTTCCTTTTTATTACAGCTTTTTGGAAAGTTGATGAGGTGAAATATTCTCCAGTAGAGGAAATAATATAAAGCTTAAAAGTCATTTCTGATGGAATGGKGAAATAATTCCACTACTTTTCTTTGAACGAAAAAAATAATAATAAGGCAACCTGAAGCAGCCTCTGGGGATTTCATTATTGATAGATTGGAGGGAAACACAGTGGCTTCAGATGAGCAGGTTTTTCTTTTAACTGGTTTGAGCATTTTAGGATGAAGAGATGAGAAAGACAGGTGCTAGACAATAGGATAAACCTGGCACCGGCTTATTTACATAATTTTGTATAGAAACGCATTGATGTACGGAGGATAAAGTGACTGTGTTGAAATGGTGAAAATAAAGTCCCTTGGAAAACAATCTGTGTTCACTACCCAGCTCTGAAATAACTGAACATTTTATGAAATACCTCTCGCTTCTTTGTGAAAATGACTGGTGGTTTAAGCCCTGTGCATGCGGTTTTAAGAAAACACCATCTTTCATGCTATTGTTTAAGGTAATTCTTAAGAATGATTCCTCTAAGCAGATGAGACATGGAGTGGGGGAGGGAAGAGGAATATTTGCACCTCACTCCAACCCAGCGTGGACCATTTACCATTTCTCCATGATGAAAGGCTATCAGGAGAGCTGGAAAAGTRTGCGGAGCAAAGATTATAAACAGCAATTTTTGCAGGCCAAATTGCTTCCTGAATGAGGGCGTAGGAGATTTAAAGGTGAACATAAATGTCTCCTTGGTAGCATGCAGAGGTTTGTGCTGCGTGAGAAACGAAACCCTAACTCCCTTTTGACCAGTGTTCCTTAACAGGCCTCTCAGATACCTGAAACCAGTTTTAACCCACTCTGGCCCTCCACTGACCACAACCTTACCTGAATGGTGCGGTCCGATTTCCAGGCTGCTCACCAGTCCCCAGGCCTATGGGGTGAGTAATGATTCTCGTGGACAAGCTTCGTGAATACTGATGAGCCCAGAAACCTCAGCTGTTCCTCTCCGGCTTGAGCAGGCAACATTTTTTAAATTCACTGCTCCAAAAAGCATTTCTCTTCTCTTTTCAGTTGTTGCTGATGTTGGCTTATTCTTCTTTTAAAAAAATGCAATTTTTTATTGTTACCAATATTTTTAACCATAAAATGAACTTGGAAAATGTAAAAGAGGTAATGTGTCCTCGCAAACTGCTGCGTTCTGAGCTTTTGATTATTAGGCCCGTGCTTTATAGCTCAAGGGAGTGGAATAAAAAAATTGCTGAGAAGCAATTAGAATCATTACCAGCAAATCAGAGTGTCAGAGCAGAGCCTTCGAGTTGGAAGTACCCTTAGAGGTTGTCCAGCTGGCCACCCCTTATAAATACAGAAAACTACATCTGCAAGATGTTCCAGACCAGCAGCCTCAGCATAACTTAGAACTTGCTAAATGAACATTCTCAGGCACCATCTCAGAAACTTGGAGCTGGGAGCCCAATGATCTCTCTACCTGGTGCCAGTTCAAACTGGGAACCCCTGGGCTAGGTCAGGGGTTCTAACCATCATTCACTCTACAAGTAATTTAGTGTGGCCTTCCAGAACCCAATAGAAGCAGAAACTCTGCTGTTACATGGGAATCTCTGTATGAAGAAGATTATTGTTAGCTTGTGACATTCCACAGTGGTGACTTCCTATCATATCTAGTCTTGTGACCCTCATCCCCAAAACCCTGCAGAGCGGAGAACCTTTGAAGGTAAAAGTATAACCGAACTTGTGTTTTGAGAACTTCAGGATAGTCAGGAGCATTTAAAAACCAACATGAGACTCCTTTCCTACTCTGAGGTAACAGGTTAGCTTGTGCTAACTCCCAATTCCTCCCAATGTCACTGGGTACCAATGAGGAAAGTCTGAATTCCATTTTCACTCCCTTGAGCACCAAGGTGGTGCTTAATTGGCGTGGGTTGTCTAACAACTCTCTGCTTGGGCTTGGGCTATGTTTACAGCCAAGTTTTCAATGCTGATTYAGGGAAATGCTGAGCCACACCCATGGCAGAAACCTGCTTTGGCAAGCCAGGGCAGTTCGGAAAAGGGAAAGTAAGCATCTATGGTCCTACACTTGTGGACTGGTTTCTGCCTTCCTCGTAAAGTGACCTGTCTCTCTCATTGTCTTTCCAAAACCAGGAAGAGCTCAAGGAGGACGATGCAGAATGCATTGTGAACCAGGACGAACTGGCCATGAATTACCAAGAGCAAAGCCCCTCATCCTGCCGTCCCCCTGCAAGGCCAGGCCTGGACCAGAAAGCTTCGCCCCAGACACCAAGCAAGGAAAACATTTATGAGGGAGACCTCGGCCTGGGAGGCTATGAACTCAAGCTTGAGCAGACTCCAGGCCAATCCCAAATGAATTAATGACATGAGGAGCACAGATATAATCACTAGTAAGGCTGGGCTGACTAAGGAAAAGGAGCCAGACAGAGAAGGCAGAAGCTGCAAAACACATGAAGAGCATAAATTGGAGAGAATCAAAACCTTGCCAGGAGTATCTTCTGGCACCTCCAAAACTGAGAAGTCTTATCAGCCCTCTGTATGATGCATCTGAACTTAGTTCTGTGACACAGCCATGTTTATTCCTGGGTTGGGTGGGATGGGGGCAGGGAGGTGGGAGTCCTGCTGGGTCAGGGTGGTGAGATAGGGGTGCTGGGTCTGTAGGGTGCTGCTGCTCCATAGGCAGCTGTCTGGGACGTGCACTTGGATTTCCAATGTTATTTCCTTCATGGGGAAGAATTTAAAAATAAGAAAAAGAGCTTCTGAAAGTAAACACTTTGTGCCTAAGCCAAAGGGAATGTCCAGTTGTTCATTAAGTGGTAAGTTTTGTATTTTTAGGACTTGACGCCCACTTGTTCTAAATGACCCCGGGTTCATATGTGTTCAACACCCACTGTTGGTGGCCTTAAAGAACCCACATGGCGTTGGGGACCGACTATTCTTCTTGACATCCTTTTGAAGCTGGTGGCTTACTGCTGGGGGTGGTGATGCCAAATGCAGGGTGAGTTTCCAGCATGGTAAGACCCCTTCCCAGGCTGATCTCTCTTCAAATACTCATGCTTCACCTGCAGAACAGGCCTTCATTCCTCGATTGTATTTGAACCACTTCTTGGCTGTGCAGCGGGTCCCCTCTGTATGCYGGGTGATAGGGTTGCTCTCCACCGGGCAGGAAGCTGTGCAGGAGCCCTAACCTGCCCTCAAGTTCACAGCTGTGAGCAACCTGGGGGCAGCAACTGATGACAGCAGGCTGATGACATGCGGATCATACCAAGGATCAGGACAAGGTACCAGGACCCCCCTTACGAGGCATGGCTGATGGCCCGTGTTCCAGAGACCAACACAATAGCTTTTAATTCAGCTGCATGACCTATGCCTTTGAAGCCATAAGATACCTCAAAGCTCGTTTTTCTCTTGAAATACAGATGTCAATACTAGACTCCAAAGAGCAGGCTCCCGACTCAGGTGTCCTGGCTATGTGATGGGTCTGCTTTTGGGGGAGGGCGGGAGTGACGTCTTCCTCAGGCTCAAAGCTTATAACTAATGTATGCTTTGCTGACCGTTGGCTAAGCCTTAAACGTTACCCGTGCTGGTGTCGGGTACACCACTATGAACATGAATTTTTTAATTTTTTAAATAATTTTTTTTGGCTTTCCAAATAGTAGAATCTGAGGCACAAATTGATTTATACTCCACTAAGTATATTCTTGTCATTCCAGGTAAATAGGGCAAGTGGGGCAGCATGGAGTTTTCTAATTTGACTTCATCCTAATAAATTTTTATTGTAAATGACCACTGTGTTGCCTAATGTTATTTTTGGTTTTTAATTTTCCAGGACCTTGTAAGGCACCAGGACCCAACCTCCCCCCATCCCTTACAAGGCATGGCTGATGGCCTGTGTTCTGGAGACCAACACAATAGCTTTATGTTAGATAGATAGATAGATAGATAGATAGATAGATAGATAGATAGATAGATAGATAGATTGATTTGTAGATTGACACAATATCTTTATTTTGTTTCCTTTTTATATGGTACCAGGGATTGAACCCAATGCCTCACACATACTAGGCTCTACCACTGAGCCACAACCCCGGCCCCCACAATGGCTTTTAATTCAGCCACATGACCTGTGCCTTTGAAGACATAAGATTCCTCAAAATGGGGCAGGGGAGATCTTGGTGCCTTCCAATACTGGGGATTGAACCCAGGAGCGCTTAACCATTGAGCTATACCTCCAACCCTTTTTATTTTTTATTTTGAGACAGGGTCTCACTAAGTTGTTCAGGGCCTTGCTAAGTTGCTGAGGCTGACTTTGAAATCATGATCCTTTTGCCTCAACCTCCTGAGCCGATGCAATTGTAGACATGTGCCACCACACCCAGCTTCATTCTTTATTTAAAAGCACCTTTTCTGTCCAGGTTAATTGGCAGTTCTAAGCTTCTCTTTTGTACCCAGAGTGCTAGGTAAAGCAGGTTCTGAAAGCGAACCTAAAGGAGATGCAAGGGTCCCCCGGCGTATGATAGTCAGAGGGGCTGGAAGAAGCCACTGAAGGAATAAAGAAAGCAGTGTTGGGCTGGGATTATGTCCCAGAGAAGCAACACTGTGTCGAGCAGAATGGCAGGGCTTCTTCTTTTCCCCCAGGGGACAACCAGAATGTAAGAAGAGCTACAAAAATGGGGGTAAGAGATGCTAAAGAAGGGAGGAAAGAAAGAGGTAAGGGCTTATCTTATTTCTGCCCCCATCACTTGAAAGAAGTGAAGAGGGCTTAGTGTTTGCTTTGCTTCCAGTGCAGAAAGACACAACAAGGAAAGAGATGATTCCCCCAGAAAAGTCAAACATTGGTGAGGATGCAAGTGGAGAGGTGGGACAGACACGTTGAGGAATGGAGAGGAGGGTGCCCAGTCTAAAACCAGCTCAAAGAGGGAAAACAAATCAGGCCTCTGCTTCCCAGACAAAGCCCCTCCTATGAAGAAACAAGTCTCTTTCCAATTGAAAGACATGAATCACTGCTAGGAGTGGGCACAGGCTGAGCCCAGCAGAGGCAATGCCCTGCCTCTGATGGTGCCCCACCCAGTGCGGAAGATGGTGTTCCAGTCTCAGGAGGTGGTTACCAGCCGCCTTCCTCTCTGTCCTAGACCCTGGAGAGGCTGGTGTTCCACTCAGCAATTCATAGAACCAAATCCCTGTCATGCTCCTGTTATGAAAGATAACCATTTGTGATCTCAAGCAATGCTCTGTACTTTGATCCACAGTCTCAGGACTGTGAAATTCAAACCTATTATTTACTGCCAGTTTCTAATGAATAATAAAGGCAAAGGAGCTTTATTCAAACCACTAATATTATTAGAGCTTTAAACAGGACTAATTAATTATCTGACTTGAACTTCTTGCCATGTGCATTACAGGCATATTCAGGGGTGTGCTTATGTGCGCGTGCGCGCACACACACACACACACACACACACACACACACACATCCAAACACACACACAAGAGTTCCACTCACTGGCAAGTTCCCAGCTAAATCCTCTATGGTGTTCCCCGTGATACTTGGGCATTATCTGAGCAAGACTGAAATCTGGGAGCAAAGGCCATCAGGGTCTTGATTCATCATGGAGTTTCTAGAAACTTCTTAGCAATTTTAACAATATAAATCAAAGTTGAAAATTTAAATACCCTTTAAGCCAACAATTTTATATGCAGAACTTTTATGCTAGATATGTGAGAAATTATACCTATGGAAATAGTAATTAAAACAATTAAATTGCCATCCTGGTTAAGTACATCCTGGCCCAGCTGCATCATATGAGCTGATATGGAATGATTTGCAAGATCAGTTGTTAAATAAGAACAACACGGTGCAGAACAGAGTGTGTTCTGTGCCTCCATCCTGGCAGGCTAAAGAAGAAGCAGTAGAATGGTCCCACCTTAACAACTGGGAGGGGATGTGACCTTTCACTTTTGTCCCTTTTGAGCTGTGTACACTGTACATACATTATTTCTTCAAAACCAAATTAAATAGTGATTCCTGCAAAATAACTCCTTCCAAGAACTGAGTTACAGGGGAAGATGGAGCATAAGCCAGAGAGGTTGATAATTTTCATCACAAGTTTTTTTGAGGCCTTGAGAATACAAAGAAGCTCAATAGCTTCTGATTTTCCTTAATAACATCATTTAAGGTGCATGAATGCAAACTCTGTAAAAGGTCTTGAAATTCATCAACTGTGACTCAATTCCACTATCAAATATCTAGTTGAAGTCAACTTTAAAAAAAGAATATCTTATTAGACATCAAAGCATATGATAAAGCAATAGTGACTAAAATGGAATGGTATTATCCCAGAAAAAAGCAATAGATCAAGAAAATCTAACACTAGGTATAGAAAAAGAACCATGAATACATTTAGAAATTTGGTTCATAAAAAGTGGCATTTCTGGGGCTGGGGCTATAACTCAGTGGTAGAGTGCCCGCCGTGCATGTGTGAGGCACTGGGTTTGATCCTCAGCACCACATAAAAATAAATAAAGACATTGTGTCCAACTACAACTAAAAAAAATATTTTTAAAAAATGGTATTTCTGTTCAAATTTGGGATAAATTAACTATAATTTATAATTATGCTTTTAATTTGGAAAAAGAAAATAAGATGATGTCTTCTGGATATGTTAATGCCAATTTCCAAGCAATTTAAATAGCTAAACAATAAAAAACAAAACTATAGGATATCAAAAAATAAGTGAATAATTTAAAATATGCAAAGAAGCTTGGCAGGCTACAAGGACAAACAGAAGCAAAGGATGATAAATTAGACTGCTTAAAAATATGAAATTTCTTATGATAAAAGACACAACAAAACAAATATTTTAAAATATTTTTTAGTTGTTGATGGACTTTTATTTTATTCACTTATTTATATGCAGTGCTGAGAATCGAACCAGTGCCTCACACATGTGAGGCAAGTGTTCTACCACTGAGCCACGACCTCAGCCCAACAACAAAACAAATTTTAACACAAGAAATAAACTGGGAGAAAAACACATGCATATACTTTTTGTACGTGTATGTGTATTAGACTAAGAATTATTCTTCAGAAAATACAAAGAACTCCTACTAATGCTTGAGAAAAGGAAAAAAGGCTCCCAAATTTGAAATTGTGCAAAAACTATGGAGAATTATATATTATATATTATATTGCCACTGTGTGCTATCTATTTGCAGAAATAAATACTTGGCATTTATGCATAAGGAAGTATACAAAGTGATATTCATTGCGGCAGTATTTTTATGGTCAAATATTAGAGGAAAAAATATCCAGCAATAGCCAAGGAGTTAACTATGCTCAAATCAGGAAACACTCTGTAGCAATTACCCTGTATAGAGGTGAGTCTGTATGCATGCACTCAGATGGAAATATTTCCAAGATATATGATTAATGAAGAACAGTCTAGAATGATAGTAGACTGATAACCAAAAACAGGCAGGATTAGGAAGACCGGATCCAGAGAGCCTTTGGGTCTGTCTGCATTCTCGTTAATCTTTATAATGAAACTCTAAACATGATTGCCTGTTT